CGGCGCTCTGGCCGCCGGGGGCTCTCCTCCTTCCCCCAGGCGCTCTGGCTGCCGGGGAGAGCGGCGAGCCCCAGCCGGGCTCTCCGCCCTCCTCCCGGCGCTCTGGCCGCCGGGGGCTCTCCTCCTTCCCCCAGGCGCTCTGGCTGCCGGGGAGAGCGGCGAGCCCCAGCCGGGCTCTCCGCCCTCCTCCCGGCGCTTTGGCCGCCGGGGGCTCTCCTCCTTCCCCCAGGCGCTCTGGCTGCCGGGGAGAGCGGCGAGCCCCAGCCGGGCTCTCTGCCCTGCTCCCAGAGCTCTGGCCACCGGGGGCTCTCCGCCCTCCTCCTGGCACTCTGGCCGCCAGGGAGAGCTGCCCTCCTCCCGGCGCTCCGGCTGCCGGGGAGAGCGGGGAGCCCCGGCTGGGCTCTCCACCCTCCTCCCGGCGCTCTGGCCGCCGGGGGCTCTCCTCCTTCCCCCAGGCGCTCTGGCTGCCGGGGAGAGCGGAGAGCCCCAGCCGGGCTCTCCGCCCTCCTCCCGGCGCTCTGGCCGCCGGGGGGCTCTCCGCCCTCCTCCCGGCGCTTTTGGCCGCCGGGGGCTCTCCTCCTTCCCCCAGGCGCTCTGGCCGCTGGGGAGAGCGGAGACCCCCAGCCGGGCTCTCCGCCCTGCTCCCAGCGCTCTGGCCGCCGGGGAGAGCGGAGAGCCCCGGCTGTGCTCCCCGCCCTCCCCCGGTGCTCTGGCCGCCGGGGAGAGCGGAGAGCCCCGGCTGTGCTCCCCGCCCTCCCCCCAGCGTTCTGGACGGTCGGGGATTGCTCGGTGCCCTCCCCTGCCACGCCAGAGCCGTCCCTGATTGCTTGGGAAGTTAAAGGGAAAAAATCCTACAAATCTCGAGTGACAGTCACAGCCACCTCTGTCAATGGTGGCAGCAACTGCTGCAAAACCTAATTAAAAATTTTGCATCTCAAACTGTAATGTTGGTTTGTTAGCCCTGGCTACGGAGGTACAAGCAACTCCTCCTACCCTCTGTATCATTAATGTGACTCAACCTTGCCCTGCAGGGACTGCCTTTCGTGATTAGGGGACATTCAGTCTCCATGGACCATTCGGTACTTGGCCTCTCAGTTGAGACTGCCAGCAAGGAAATTGTGCCAGTCCCTGGACAGTGAGGTTGTTGGAGGCACGGGAACGTGGGATGAGGCATGGGGAATAGACTGAAGCAGTCAAGGTGCAGCTGTGAGGAAGAGGCGGCCTGCTGAGCCCAGCTGGGATAAAGGTTTGTTTTTTATATATTTCTGTTGAACTTTGATACAGGACTCAGTGGCCTTAGAAGGGGCTGGACTCTGCAAAGTGGTCTGGCTGGAGGGCCAGGATACTCCTATGGTCAGAGTAGGTCAAAAGAAGGTGGGGGAAACTGAGGAAAAATGTGCTGCAATATCACATTCTGCCAGTAGAGGGTATGTTGAAGCAGCAACTTTGCCACATTTGGGGGCTTGTTTTGGGGTGGGACCCCACAATGGTACCAGACGTGGGCTGTCAGGCCTCCTTTCGTCAAGGAGGGATATCTGAGCGGTGAGACACAAACACCTTCCCTGGTGGTGAAACATTTCCCTCCCAGATCTGTATAAGAGGGGCCAGCAACAGCTGCAGGAGGGCCACCTCCTAATTTTTTGAGGCAATGGGGATGAAACAACAAGGAGGAAGACACGGGGCTCGTCTGATCACATGTGTTGACTACAAGCAGGCCGGGCATGTAAAGTGGGTCTGTCCCTATGGGAGCAATGGCTGTGAGGCCTGCCCAGAGTACTAAGAGAATGGGGGCATTTCTGACTATTAGAGATGTCATGCCCTGAGCCAGTGGGACACAGACTACTACAGTCTAAACAATCATTTTGGGGCAAGAAAGCATGAGACCCTAGGGAAACAGTTTTGGTTTGAGAAACTGGGGCACATAGAAAGATCTCTCCTTACTAAAAGCTAGTCTTCCGGGTGGATGAACTGAAGCTATGCGGAGACTAGAGTCTGCTGGGATAGGCCCATATCGAGTACTCAAGGAAACAGACCCTGGGGTGTAAACTTAAATGGGGGAAGTTGTCCTGATGGTTCAACATCCCTGTTGCTTGTGGAAGGTACCCCTGACTCCATTCTCAGCCCCAGTCTGTAAGAACTTAGGGACTTTGACTACCTTGTTATGGAAACCAGGTATAAAGTACAACAGGGTTATATGGCAGAGGGCACCCAGCTGGAAACTGACTTCAGGTTTCTGGGGAGCCAAGGAATTGCTGGCTACAAGGTTGGTGTTGTCAAATAATTTCATAAACTGCAGGCCCAGATGAAGGATTTCTACTTAGAACCTGGATGGTCAGATAAAGGTGCGGGAAGAGCAAATCTTAGAATTAAAGAAAAGCACTCCCAAGTACTCCCGGAAGCATTGACGGCACAGCACAAATGAACAAAGCAGGTAGAAGCAGATCTGGAAAGGGCATGGCAGGCATGGGAAAGTGACTATTCTATACTGGCCAGTGAACTTAAGAAGCTTCTATTTGGCAATGAAAACATGCTGCACATATGGAGACATGTAACAGAACTGCCACTCAGTTTGAATAGCAGCTCAGGAAGGCTGAACCAGGTGGAAAGGAAGTCTTTTACACCTGTTGATGCTGTGATGGACCTGAGGCCTGACTACAGGAGTGTTACAAGAAGAGATGCACCAGGAATTAAAGCTGTGGAGCAGGTGGAGGCTGAGAAAAACCACTTCAAAGAGCAGCATGTGAAGGAGCCAGACTGAATCGAGGCTTTGAGAATAAGATTGCCTTCCTAGAAGGCAGAAAAAAGGAGGCAGAGTATTTACTAGTTTTGGAGAAGAATTGCTACTCCCATGACAAGGACAAGTGGGAATGGGTTTCAGCCAAAGTTTAGGAGCTAGAGAAGCTCAGGCTTACTCTGGAAAGGGAGTGGGAGACTAAGGCCAGTGAGCTCCAGGGGTGATCCAATGAAGCAGTAGCACTGGGCCCCTCGGCAGAAGAAGCTGGATTATGGAGACGGCAAATCCAGAATCATATTGGAGCGCATGGCCAGGGCACTGGAACATTTGTGGAGACCTGCAATAAGAAAGCGAGCATGGAAGAGCCATAACGAGTGGCTGGTATCAACACAAGTGAGCTGACTAACACTTCAGATCTCCAGGAAGACCATTCTGATGGGATTGCTGGTGGTTCAACAACAGGCTGTGTATCCCGAGGTACACTCACTGATTTGGGATTCAAGATAAATGCTGCAATATTGGAAGTAGCCTGTACAACTACACAGCAGACCCACAAGGTGATTGACCCTGGGTGAATTAGAAGAGAAGGCCACTTCCCTTGATAGTTTCCAGGCCTAAAACCTCATGCTACAAACCAAAATCAGTGAGAGCCAATGCGAGCTAGAGGAGACCCACTTGCCACTTGGAAAGATCCTGCCACAAGCCATTCAATGACAGCAGGAGCTGACCTGTATGAAAGTGGAGAAGGTGACTGGGTAGCAGCAATGCTCTTTGGTACAGAAGGAGCTAACTAAGCTCCAGAACCAGCTGAAAATCCAGCCTCAGATGAAAAACAACCCAGAGACTGACAAAAAGCTGAAGGGCTTAGAAACGAATGTCCTGACCCTAGGGGATGAACTGGAAGTATGCCAGGAAGAGGGAGCAAGGCTATTTCAGAAGAAGAAATGGCGGGACACCAAGGTATGTCAGTCAGCTCAGGGCACGGGTGGCACAATGGTGACTGCAGCAGAAACAGAGGCCACCAAGACTCAGAATGTGGAATAGAAAAAGTAATGGAAAAGCCCTTGCTGATTGGAGAGTTGGAAGAGGCTCTGCAAAGACCCAGTCAGGGCACTATGGAGTGGAAGAAATTTACCTCAAAGAAAAAGCAAAATGAGAGTATCCCTACTGAGGCGAACAACGGAAGGTAGTAGAGGTAAAAGGGAACAAAAATGGGTGTTTTTGTGAGAGCAACTAAGAGCACAGTGCAGTTGTGACTCTTTGGGAGGCTCAGAGGAGAGGAAGCAGGAAGTGCCTTCTCCCTAGGACGCGGCCTGGAAGAAGGCTGAGAAGTAGAAGGGGAGAAGGTGGACAGGCTACTCGCAGGGTGGGCTAGAAGTCTGACTGGAGGCAGGAACCCTGAGGAGCTGCGGTCTCCCCAAACCCCATGAGTGAGGGGAGGAGTGTGCCAGCCCCTGGACAGTGGGTTGTTGAAACAGGATCCTGGGGCACAGCGTGGGGAATAGACTATCTCAGGCAAGGTGCGGCTATGAGGAAGAGGCGGCCTGCTGAGCTCAGCTGGGCTCCAGGTTTGGTTTTTGTATATTTATGTTGGACTTTGATAAAGGACCCTGTGGCCAGAGAAGGGGCTGGACTCTGCAAAGTGGTCTGGCTGGAGGGTCAGGACACTCATATGGCCAGAGTAGGCCAAAAAAGGTAGGGAAACAGAGAGAAAAGGTGCTGCAATGCCACATCCAGACAACAGGTATTGTGTTGAAGCAGCAGCCCCTGGAGCAGCACACGTGGGGGCTTGCTCTGGAGTGAGACCCCATGACAAGGATCAATGAACACCAACTGATATGTGGATGGCTGTCCCACAGGAATATGGACCTTAAGTAATTATTGCCTAACTGTGAGCCACAGTAGTTCAGAGGGATTCATCTCAGTGCTATCTGCCTGTTCTAGTGATGTCAGGAATATATAAGGACTATCTGGCATAGAAACCATGAGGAAGAACAGAGTCAGTGCTCAAGTACTGTGGGTCCCTGCTATGAACCAGTCCTTTTGAATCTCCCTTTGAAGGTTGGGTGAGCTAATTGACGGCAGCAGAGTGCCAGTGCTCTGCAGCATGTGGGACCCTGAGCTTGTTTTGGAACCTTGCTCTCTTGAGTAGTTCCTGTGTAAACAGTGCAAACCTGTTCTGAGCTGTTCACCTGCTGAGGTTCCACCTCTGGGTCACTCCAGGGTGTTGGTTCCAGCACTAGCTTTGAGGGTTGAAGTGCACAGCCCTCCCCATGACTCTGCTACTCTAATCAAAATGTCCTTGCTTCAGGGTACCATTGGGGGGAAATTTCAGCAAGGGTGGGAAGATCAGTGTTGGCCACCAAACACACTTTGCATCGATGTTCCTCTGTGAGTGAATAACACTCCCCTGGGACTGCACTCTAGTATTGAGACAACCCTTCATGTAATGAATATGCTGCGTTTGGGCGGCATGAGCATCCAGTGGTGGGATCTGGAGTTTCCCTCCTCGTGGCTTAATCTTTTCATTTCAGTTGTAATGGACAGGCATCCCACCAACAGATTTCTAAAGCAAGTCTTTTCAAATGAATGATATGCAAGACTATATGAAGCAAGGCTTGGTTCACTGAGGGAGCATTATTCCAGTACATATCCACTGCTGTAGGGCAGTGCGTACTGAAGATATGAATAATACATAGCATTTATGTGATGCCCTTCATGTTTAAAGCAAGCCACAGGCACTAACTAATTAAAACTCACAATAGCCGTGTAAGGCAGGTCAGTAAGAATTATCCCCATTCTACGCGCTGGAAATGGAGGCAAAGGCATTCAGCGACATGTCCAAGATTACAGAGATGGGGGTTGGTGACAAAGCCGGGATTAGAATGCAGGAATTCCTGATTCCCAGTCCTCTGCTTAACTGTACACCGCTCTGACTCACATACACACACATTATTAAGATTGAGAATAATGATAGGCTAACATTTATATAGCATCTTTCATACCAAAATCTCAAAGTGCTCTATAAACTGATTTATATACTCTTTAGGGGTCACTTCACCCATTATCTAAATGCCACAACCTTCGGTGCATGAAAGGTAGTAGCCTTTAAATAGTGCACAGCAACTCTATCTGACAGTTTAGAACAACCTCTCCAAATGAATCTGCAGGGGCATTTAGAGAGTAATTATCTGCCTGGAACTTGGCCAGGAGTATGGGACTACCATCCCAACTCTGATGAAAAAGTGCCATGGGATCTTCACTGTGAGCACAAAGGACCATGATCTTAGGTTTACGTCTCTTCCTAAAGAAATAACTGCATCCTGTTGCAACCCTCTGGAATTGACTGTCTCTCCAGCGTGGAAAGATTTCCCTACGTCTCACAATGTAAAGTACAAAGAACAGGAGTACTTGTGGCACTGTACTCCTGTTCATTTTGCGGATACAGACTAACACGGCTGCTACTCTGAAATGTAAAGTAAAGCTTTTTTCCTTTGCAGCTGCTGGTGACTGGCAGCTCTGTTTTTTCTTTCTTTCATATTTTGATTACAGAGTTGCTCTGTTATTCCAGCAAGTCTGAAATTAGATACAGGTGCAAATGAACTGTGTAAGTCATAAGTGCATTAAAGTTGGTAATTTTTCTGTCAAGAGTCATGTTGAAAGGTTGCATAGAATAATAAGAGCAGACTAGAGCCAACTGGCTTGCACAGGTGCACCTACAATTCAGTGTGTTCTAGTAGGTGGTGTGGGGTTATGTAGGGTAATGTTTTATTTTTAGACAACACCTTGAAATCCTCTCCCTTTTGGTTAACTTTCCATCACTCATCTCTCATTTGCCGCTCCGGTGCCTGACCACGATTCGTTTAGAGGACTGTAACAAATCCAAGACAATGGGGGTCTCTAGGTTACACACCCTGACCTCCCAGACCATCACAAACACAGCAGGGAGAGGACCCAGATTCCCCCTCCTCCAAAAGCATGAGCCCCTATCACTTTTGCGGAAGGAGAACATCCATTAGCTATTAGCAGTATGGAGCCTATGCTACACAGCTGAATATGTCTGATTCCATCTTCCTGAGGACAGGCACATATGCACCCCATTCTCCTACACTACTGAACTTACAAGAGAGACACGGATGGGTGGTGTGTGAGGGGGAGCTTCCAAGAAGTCAACAGAAAGTGACAGTTCAATTGATTAGAACTCAAACAGCAAATCAAGGACCTTGTCTTAATTTTGTATGTGTAAACAGAAATGCACACCTTCTAGAGAGCACCCTCTAAATAACAGACGTGCTGGTAGGCACTGTACGTGGCACCGGGAAGGTGCATCCGCTAGGAGCTATTCTTCTTTGCAGTTCACAGCTGGTTAGTTGTCATGTTTCTGAAGACCTTCATTTCTAGCTTCTGTGACAATCTATTAATTGTGCTAAATTCAAGCGTGGTGAGTTTGGTGGGGCTCAATTCCAGCTCCCTCTTCACAAACTTACCACCATGCTCGGCACTGATTAGCTATAGAGAGACAAAGAACTGCGTGGGCCACGGCGACTGAACTATCCCTGTTACGCCTAGAAGAAGTTGTGCCTCTGTCTACCAGATCAAGGCTGCAACATGCTGGCAGGGCAGTGTGTCAGTGGAGCCTGCCCTACGTCTGTCTCATAAATAAAGAGAGAATTTCATTCATCAAGGCTGTCAAGCAAATGCTTTCACCAGCGCTAAATCCACACAATTTATTTAAAGCTGAAATTTATGGTTCTGGATAAATTAGTTTGTAAAAATGTAAATTAGTTCATCATATAATATGCATAAAATGTCACACATGGCACTGCACAAAACTGGCAGCTCTAAATTTTCTCTGCTTTTCAGTATGGTATATAGACAATATTGCCTCCCATCTGTGTGTGGCAGGGTGGCAGGAACTCTGGGTCTGCATTCCTTGGCCTGGGCCTGGGGCTAGCTGGCTCAGCCCTCAGGCTGGTTAATGTGCCCAGCTGGGCTGCAGCAGAATCACGTGATTGGGTACAAGGAGCCTACAGGTCTGCATTTAAGCTAAGCAGCAGTAGTAGCTCAACACTTATGCCTGCAGCTACAACTGCTCCTCTATCTGCCCTGTTCTGGGCCTGACCCTTGGGTCTGACCTCTTGATGCTGTTTCCAGTGTCTGAGCACCACTGCTCTGACTGCCAGGCCTGACTACCCACACCCTGATCAGTGACACTAGGTCACTTGCCTGCCACACCCTGTGCCCACCAGCATGCAGCTGAAGCACACTCCTGGGTTGTATGCCCAGCACTCCCTGCCCCACTAGTGTGGAATTAGGGTGCCTGCCTACCACAGCCCACTATTCCAGCATGGAGCAGGTTGTAACCAGCTTTGCCCTCTGTGCAGAGCTGGCAAATGTCCATAATACCTAGCTGCAGCTGGTAAGCATTAGCAAGTAACACCCAGGGCTGACTGACTGCAGTCAGCATATGCAGTATAATGCTTCCAGACTGATGCATATGTTGTCTTTCTAATTTGGCTCTTTATTTTGAACAGATGTCGTGAGAGTGAAAAAATTAGCAACAATTAGTCACTTTTTTTGTCACAAACAACACTGCGCTATAACTGCAGGAGTAAGTAACAGACCCGGGTGTGACTTCAGAAATGTTTTCCGGGAGATGTCAAAGGTAAATGGCCACTTACTGAATGCATCTTTCCCATGGTGCTCACAGCATTTCAGAATGGATCCAAGCCTTTTCTTGCCAGTTCCCATGGCCAGTATGGCCTTCCTGGTACAGAGATGGTCTCTTTCTTATCCGCTATATTACTCTGCACTCCAATTGCCCTTAGTTAAGGCTAATGGGTCCTATTCCTTTCCCAGAAGAGTTATCACTGTCCCACTCTGCCCTTCCCCAGTCCAGTAGATTTTAAGGGGGCTATATGGAACGTTCTCATCCCCACCACTGTCTTTTTTCCTCCCCAAATCTCTCTCTCTGTAGTTTTCAAATATAGGCAGCTGTGGAGCAGGCAAGAAATTTTAGGATTAGGTAAGAGGAACATGGACTGTAGGAAAGCACCTCTCTTATTATCGGGCTCAACCCCCCCTCCACCCCCAACATCCAGAATTCTCTTGCTTCATTTTACTGTTGTTAACTTCTAAGGGAGCTGGAAACCCTAATTAAGACCAAACCTCCACACTGCAAGCCTATCCTCCTCCCGCATCTATCATCGGTTAATGATTTATTCCTAAGAAACCAAAGAGGCAGGATTAGGTGCAAAACAAATAACAGTTTATTAAAGGACCCCCAACACCTATACCCAGTAAGCAAAGAGGAAAACCACTCGGGTGTTAACAATACAAACAGGCTTTCAGCCAAGGCCCCAAAACCAGACAACACCAGAGGTGGGTAAGACAAATTAAAGGGATTAACACATCACCATTCTTCTTGTTGCACAGGACCCTGGACACACTGGAACTCAAGACACCACCAGGATCACAGGACATGAAGGGACAGGGAACATGAACATCAGGATACTCAGGACAGGATCAGATAAGCAATCTTCTATTGTCTTCCGTCTCAACTTGACATGCCGTCTCAGCAGGGAATAGACCTTAGTACTGGGCTGCCTCTATGATGGACAGCTGCCATCACAGGGCGCCGTAACCTTTTATCACCTTTAGTTGCTGGGCAGGATTCTCTAGGACACCTGACCCTTTCCCGCCCAAATGTACAAAATGAGCCAATACTTCCTGCCAAAGTGCTGCTGCTAGGCAGTTTATAGACAAAGGGAGAACAAGAAGGGGGAATGCAATATGGAGGGTGAAGTACAACTCAAGGAAACCAAGGTGGCGAACTGAAATTTCCTTAGTAAAATTAAAAATTGTAGATGTAACCTAGCAGGGGATTAGGGAGGATGAATAAGTGGTGGTGCGTTTATATGGGGAAATATATAAGAAAAAAGGAAAACACTGACTGAGGTTAATTAGTCTTTTACAATTCCTTGTGACTAGTCTATCTAATGTTGAACCGTCTTAAGAGGCACAGATGCAAAGGATTCTTGAACATTCAAAACAGTCACCTTCAGCTGGCAAAGACTAGGGAAAAGGTGGCTGCCTGGGAGGAGACAAGAAATGCTCCTCTATCATCAATTTGTATAATGCTAGTGTCCAGAGGCTCCAAACAGCATTGGAACCTCATTGTGCTGGGTGAGTGAGCACAAATGAGTAGCTTTTCTTGTGTGTGGGAGGGAGGGAGGGAGGGAGAATATGTGTAGAGCAAATATATACATATATTGCACAATGTTTTTTATGGGCAAGAGGGACAAGTGTCAAGACACATGCTCAAAAATGAACACGTGCAACTTTTACTATGGGCCTTTCCCTATTCACCATTCATTCAGGCTCTGTACAACCAACAGGGAAAGCAGATTCCAGGCATGGGATCTCCACTGAGAACACCCTATCCCCAGACACTTGAGTACAGGTAGCTTTAACGTCCATGAATCTTGTCTACTATGGTGATACATAGAATGAGAGGAAGGATGAATGCCATGTAGTGCTTTGTAAATCACACAGGCAACATGCTGAGTTGTGCCTAGAAGTGAATAAGGAGCCAGACAGTTGCTGGAGAGCTGATGTAATTTGTTCCCTGTAGCAAACACCATTAATCAGGGGGGTGACCACATTCTGCACTAGCTGTAGTTTCCAAGTATGTTGCAATAGTACGGTCCATGTACGTTTCGGTTTATAACCCAAGATTTGGGACGTGTGAAGTGTGAAAATCTTTCCAGTCTTCCTGAACATTATACTTCTCTAGATGTTCTCTCTCTAGGTAACAATTTGCTAGAACAAACTCTTCTATAGTGCAGGTCACATAAATTGTTTATACTACTCCAAATGATTATTTTTTACTTCTGGGGATCATTCATCAGAACAGGAGGTTGATGTTTGGTCCACTGGCCTTTGTCACAAATTGACTATCTCAGTAACCTCAGCTCTAGGAAAGTGACATTTGGTGTTTGTTTGCTAACTGCTGAATTCAGCGGATCCTAATCTTGAGGCACATGTATCATTGACAGCCGCACCTCTTACTTTAGAAAGAAAGAAACAGTGATAACATTAACCACCATTGTTGCCCCCTTTAATCCAAAGGGCTTCACAAATCCGATATAAACGCTACAGCACCAATGAAATGAAGCCATTCGTGGGATGGAGGCTGGAAGCTAACTAACTGGGGCACAAGCACAACAGTGGCAAAAAGTATCATGGGATCTTCAATGCTCATGCATAACCCTATGGCCTGATTTCCAAAGTGTCTTAGTGACTCTAATTGCATGGAACTCTATTTATCTACGTTGGAAAGATGAAGGGTTGAGAGGACCATGCTGGGATTTGAACTTCTAGCTCTAGGGAGTCTTGATGCTTAACTTAGTAGGCCATCTCCTCTACACAGTATTGAAGAAGAAGTCTAGGAAATTAACCATTTTATCTTCTCTTACTGTAAAAGGGGTCACGTTCCTCTTGTGCTGAACAGCGTTAGGAGAACTGACAGAGACCATAGACACCACACATGTTTAGGAAAACCCAGGATTTATTTGTTTTTTCATTTCAGAGCCTCAGGATGGAGGCCAGAGGCCTGGAGCGGACAAAGATTTTGAGTGTGCCCATGCTCCCGCAATGAAAAACTAAACACTTACTCTTCTTAAACACGCCTGGCCTTTTTGGACTCTGTTATCCTGCTTTGGGGAATAAAGTCATCACACAACAAAGTCAGGGAAAAATCCCTCAGTATTGCATATTTGGAGAGGTGCGTTGAGGGGGGGTGTTACTCCTTCCTGTGAAGCATTAACTATGAGCTGTTACCTGAGACAGAATACTGGACTAAATGGACCATTGGCCTGTTCCGGTATAGCAATTTCTGTGTTTCCATTCCTGGTGTTCACCAGGGGTTCAAGTTCTTTTGGATCTTCACACAGACTAAAGGAGGCGTTGTGGTTAATTTCTCTGAAACAAATAGCCTCCCCTCACCCTCCTGCATTTAAACATCACAATTGAAATCTATATGCAAGGAAGGCAAGTTGCTTCTTTAGGCAGCATAGAGCCTATACATCCACAAGCACATATTACACAGAAAACAAATGAACCCATTGTCAAAGCAAAGACCAATTTTTCTCTGCATCTGCCTCTTTAAGCCCGAAGTACGGTTGGTCAGCATCAAGATTAGAACTTTGCAACACTTTAAAAGCCCCTTTTCCCCAGAGAGGTCTCTTGAATTTATAAACTCCAGGTTTCACATAGCTACTGTTTAATTTCTAAAGTGTTAACCAAAATTTACTACAACTGCCATTTTATACTGGCATATTTGTTGTTGTTACTAAGGTAGCTATTCCATAGTTACTATTTTGGTTCCCATGGTGATTGCATTGCTACCCGAGTCTGAGATGATAAAATTGCTATGTTGACAGATTCTGATTGACTGTTGATACTGGTTGGTAGCAGAAAGGAAGGCTTCCCAATAGGTTAACATGTATATTTTCAGGAAGAAAACAAGGCAGCACAAATTAGTTTTTGATGCAGTTAAATTTTAGTAGCTGCAGAACGGAGAGTTCAGATGAAAACAGCTGGCAGCCCAGAGGCCGGGTGGTGGTGATGATGGGCCTGAATTTCCATGGGGCCACATTATAGGTGGCTGCCTTGCATTGATTTCTCAGATGGAGCAGGCGTCAGGGGTTTACCCTGCTAAGCAGCTGCCTGCTTGTGCTCTTGCTGGGATGGATGTCCAAGAGGTGAATTCAGCAGGTGTTTAACTTCTATGGAGGGTCTCACACAGTGAAACTCAGACTGAGGCTCGTGAGCCGCAAGTGGCTCTTTAATGCGTCTCCTGCAGCTCTTTGCAGCGCATGCTATTAAAACACGGTGTGATTTAACCAGCAAGATGCTTTTACTATGTTATTTACCAATTGTTATCAACCTGCACTAAGTTATTAACTTATTTGCTGTGAGAATAATATATAAATAAAAACGAAATATTTTCCCCGTCATTCACACTATTGTGTCTCTTTTGGAGAATGTTGATCGCTAGTTTGACTCCTGCACCACTGAGGTCAAGGTATCACTGGGCTAACAGAATGGTAATGAACGTGTAGCAGTCATCATTGAACATTGTGAACCCCAGCTCAACATCCAGCCAGTAGAGGATTCTGAAACCTCCACAGCACAAGGGAAAAAGTACATCCAGAGATCAGAGGGGACCTGGCTCAGGGAGGAGCTGGCTGCAGCCATTAGCCTTGGAGCTGGCTGTGGGGGAAAGGTTGTGCAGTGAGTGAGCAACTGTAAGCTGGGGTAGGAAGGCTGAGAACTGGATGGGGGGCACCCGGGTGTGGGCAAGGAGCCAGTAGCAGCGGGTGGACACAGGGTTGCAATCTGCTGGCAGGTGGGTAGTGTGGAAGGGTTGCACTAGGATGCTGTTACCTTCATGCCTCTGGACTGGACTCCCTGCTGAGGTTCTCTCTTTTTTGTGTGTGGTTGTGGTGGCCATTACATACGTGTGCCTAGGAGCTTTGCAGGGTTTATTTCTGGCAGCCCTAGTAAAGGGATCTTCTTTGTCATTCTACGTGCGTGAATGTGTTTGGGAACCCACCGAGGACTAGAACCTGAAGAACCTAGTGCCTGCAGTGCTTGTCTCCAAGCTGGTGGTTCACCTGGTACACTACCAAACCTCTAAGGTACTGGTGCACCACAGCACTCCCAGTGACTCCCTGCCATGGGGTTGGTTAGGGTACTAGCTCAACCACCTAGGTCTGAATCCCATCCCCTTCCCCTAGAAGTTCCCTGGTAGCCAAGTGAAACCTTACAAACCTGCCTTTATAAAGATACTATAGATACCAGTAACAGCCCCAGACCCTGAGCGTAAGCTCTGGGGATGTGGCTCATTAATGAAGAAAGCTGTAGAATATTTTCCTAAAAGTAGGCCCCAAATTTTGGCATGGCTTTGTGCTTCCTGGGAGAACCTTGTACTCCACCCGATTGGTAATGGTCCCCTCCCAGGTCCTACAATACCCTGCAAGGTATCCCTTACCCAGGTCCCTGCAGATCTAGTACAGCATCCATCTCGCCTTCGACTGCATGGATGGGAATTCACTACATCTCCTGCAGCCATGAGGGCTGGCTTCACAACCAAACACAGTGGGCCTCATGCAATCTGGTTTGTGGTTCCAGCCCATAAGGCCTCATTCAGTTTCCAAGGAACTTCCAGGGACTTCTGGCTACAAGGAGGGACTGAAGGGGTGACACAAGCCTTTCTGTCACCTGCGCCACAGCAGAGCAGTGTTACACCCTCGTGAAAGGTTTTTGAGGCCCAGGCCCCTGAGATTCCACCAGGTTTGGGCTTTGCCTAGAATTTTGGCTGGGTAGAAAGACAATGGTTTGAGAGGTGAAAAGCTGCATTTCCTTCCTGATGAAGAATGAAAGGTTGGAAACATGGGGAAAATTAGGGCAGGAAGAGGATGGAGGGAAAAAGAAAGAAAAGGGAGTGCAGAAAAGATGTGGTGGAAAGAATGAGGGAAGGAAGAAAAAAGAAGGATGGGAGATGCCAGGGAGGTTGTTGATGGAGTGGGGTAACCGATGCATGTCTCTCCTTTCACATTTCTTTTATTTGCATGATGACCCTGGACTATCATTCAGGAACTTACACAAAGCTGATTGCCTCCTTTTTAGTGTATGCGCCTCAGGGAGCACGTGATCAGGATTCATCTCTGAATTTGGTCCACTGGTTGGATCATTAGCTTCCCTGGCCCAGGCCAGGTACTGTCGGGGGTGGGGGGGTGGGGGGGGAAGAGCAACGTGAATGCTGATCCCCTTTCTTAATAGCATCCTCTGGAGCAGCGGTTCCCAATTTTTTTCCTTGCATGACTCCATTTTCAGATGGGCTGCTTCCCCTGACCCCAGACAGCATGAAAGACACCATTTTAAAATGGCATCTTTTTCATGGTGTGACCTCGCACGCACCATATGTAGGAGGTCGTGCCAGGCAGAGGATGCCATTTTGTAAAATAGTGTCCTCTGCACACTTGGGATTGTTGCGAGCCCATCCGCTGATGGAGTGACCTCTAGGGAACTGCTGCCCTAGAGCTTGGAAATGACCATGTTCACAGCCCCATTGCTCCTTAAAAGAAAGGTTTGATTATTGTTCTATTTTCTTATTTTGGTAAATGCTACAGTGCTTTACTGCCTGCCGCTTCCAATCTCCTCCTAGCCTCCCTGCAATCTCTTTGGCAGTGACTGTAATTTACTGTGAATTAACCCAGTCACTGGGGAGTGCCTAATGGCCGTTCTACAGGTTCACAGATTATCTTAAGCAACTGATATTTAGTGCAGAAAGAGGGAAAACTTCTAAAAGGTTTAGTAAATGTCATGAAAAGTCTATTCTGGAGCTCAGTTTTTATCCAGTGCTGTGTTGACACAGCACGGCTTTCCTGGATCCAGGTGAATGCCAGGCTAGGCGTATTCTGACTTCTGGAAAGCCTTTAAAGGAGACCGTGAGATGCGTATGTGTGAGAAAGGAGGGCACCTGCCATTTCCCCTTTTACATAGCATGGTTGCACGGAGAAGAGGAGTTTCTAATCCTCCGAGGCTTTATCTGCACAAAGATGCCATGTTGTTCTTTATCTCCCTTGTGTTACTTAATGGCTGGGCTGGTTCATACAAACCCAGATTACAGCAGATAAAAAAACCAAGGCTCTGAATTATTCTGTGGAGGAGGAGGACGACAACTTGGGTTGCAGGATGAAACCGCAGCCTTGCATGGAACTGCCCAGGCTGCTGTGTTTTATTTGTAAATCTCTCTACTCAGCTTAAGCCTTTGGCCCTTAATACATTCTGAATCAAAAAGAGGCAAAGTGTGGTCTTTTCATTGCAGTGCCTGTGGGCAATGTGTAGCGCCTGGTATAATACTCTTGGGTTAGGCTTCTGCGGGACTTTCTATCCTTATGGCCCTCATTGCAGTAGATCAGGGCTGTTCAATTCAACACACTTGCTGTTCAGCTTTTTTTCTCTGTTTTATTTTTTTATTTCTGTTACCCAGAGATTACTCACTTGTCTTGGGGGCCTGGTGGGAAGGCTAGAAGGTTTGAACAATAGTCTCCTAACAAGGGGTTCTTTTCTCTCTGCTGTGTAGGTCTAGAGATGCCTGGGAGGAAAAAGGGAGGGGTGGGGAGCAGGCTGGGGTTTTGCCTTATTGCTTTGCCACCCATCACACTCCCAGTCAGACAAGAACAGTTACTTTCATGGTACCAAACCATACATAACTTAGTCTTTCAAATCTAATGACAGCACTACTCCACAGACTAAGCACAAGTTGTGTGTGTGTCCTTTGAACAGACCAGGCAGTCATCTTTTTATCCCTAGCTTATTTAAGTGACGGGGTGATTGCAGGTGGCCTGATCTCCTCAGAGAACTCCCTCCTGCTGCTGTGATCAGGAGCTTCACCTCCAGCAACCAAACAGAAGCAAAGTCCCCAGACAATGCAGCAGGTGGTGTTTGCAGCTGCTCACCTGGCCTTGTCGTTGTCCTGTGTGGGGTGGCTAGAGTTTGTTGGGTTGTCTTACCAATACTAGACCCAGCTGGTGTAGAATAGAAGCCCGAAGACAGCAAAGGTCTCTATCAGTCCTGTTGTCTCAGTTACAGATTCTGATCCCATTGAGGTTAACAGGTGCTCAGCGCGTCTGACAATCAGGCCACTGCAGCAGGTGCTTACATTTGTTTAGGTACTAAGTTTTGAAAATGTTGGTCTATGTGACTTGCTGAGCT